GGTATTGTGTTTGTCGGTATGTCAAAAGCGTTTGATAAGGTTCGCCACCAAACGCTGCTAGATGATCTTCATGAAAAGGGTGTGTGTGGCACTGCTCTGGCCTGGTTTGCCAGCCACTTGCCGAGTCGGAAACAACGCGTTAAAGTTGGTTCGTCATGCTACTCGGAGTGTTCAAGGGGTGTACCGCAAGCTAGCGTTCTCGGCCCGTTTTTTTCTGTTTACATCAGTTCCATCGACTCTTATCTACCGCCTGATATTTGTCACCAAGAATTCGCTGATGGTATCACCTTAGATACATCATCATCCAGCCATGCAGACATCAGCTCTAAGCTTAGTGTCGCAGGTAAGGGTCTCGCCGTCTGGCTCAATGGACGGGGTTTGAGCCTCAACACCACCAAAACCTGTGTGTTGCACATTGCTCCAAGGAGCACCCTTGATCCCTTGCCGCCTGTGACTATTGCGCTGTGCTCCCTGTTGTGTCGCAGACCAAGTACCTAGGCTTGATTGTAGACGATCGCCTGACATGGATTAGCCACGTTACGCATATCTGTAAAGCATCTGGACAGGTTATAGGTGGTGTATTATTGTATGTACTTCAATTGCATCACAATATTAGTACCATTGGCACGCTAAGTTAGCTAGCGCTAATATGTAGTCTGTAGCGCTAATATGTAGTCCGTACATAAGGCACTTTCCTTATGTGTGTGGGGTCAATCTATCCAAGTTCGTGGAAACATAACAATAGGAGCACTGTGGAGAAATCGGAAGTGTCTCTCTCTGCAGTCGAAGCGAATGGCCTACGCGTCCATGGTAGAGTCCAGGATCCGCTATGGATGTTCAGCTTTCTTTAGCTCTCTCTCCAAGGCTAACGGGGAGAGACTTCAACGCCTATGCAACCTAGCCCTGCGAGCGGTGTACAACTTGAGCTCCCGTACCCGTATGACTTCCGTTTATGCGGAACACAACCTGCTTCGTGTATACCAGCTCTTTTTTATGAAAGTGCACATGCCTACCTAGAATGGAAGAGAACAACAACAACAATAACAACAACAACAACATCAAGAGAACATAGGAGACTACAAAGGGCGTGTAGGTGCTATTGCGCTGTGCCGGTGAGGTGAAGTGCGCTCCCCGACCAATGGTCTCGGGATCAAGGCGCACATCACGCACCATGGGGGAAAGGGAGAGAAGAAAGACTGTGTGTGAAGAGTTAGAACCTGAGAGCCAGACAATTAAGGAGAGAGAGGAAGAGATTGGGGGGGGGGTGAGTAAGGGAGGGTGAGTGAGTGCCAGATTAATTCAGGAAACTATGGCAATGGACCAACAGCTGCGTTGCTTTCAGTGGGGGGGGGGGGGCAATACTGAGAAGTTAGATCGGAGCTGCTGCCAGGAAGAGTGGTGTGCAGGCACTGGATCAGCGAGAAAGGGGCCAGGAAAGCAGCAAAAAGGAAAGAAGAGAAGAAATAAACATTAACGTAAAACATTCTGGACTGAGGTGATTCGAGAGCTCTAGGGAGCAAGGTACAGTTCAGTGGGGTGAAGACGAGGTGATCGTTGTGGGACTGGAGAATGGAACATCGTCAAATTCAGCCAGGGAATGGTGTCGCCAACAACCAATCCTGGCGCATCAGGTGCTGACAAATGCGAGACTTGAAGGCCTGCATTCCCTTCTATGCCGTCTTGCGTGAGACAATGTGCTCGCTGGTCTACCGGTTCCTACATTCCACCATGGAGCAGCCGCTGATCAGCACATTATTTGGAGATTGTGTCCCTCCTACTAGGGCTCGCCAAACGCGCGGCTCCCAACAACATCTGCTACAGCTTTCAGCCAGGACTTCTACTTCACCTCCTCTCCGCATCACGAAGTCATCACTAATTCATGCACAGTAAGTACGTTCTTATTTTGAGATATTCGTTACGCAATAGTCACAGATCCGCAATTTGTAAAGCATTTTATAGGAAAACAATTTTCTTGGCCAGTTCCGTGTAAGCGCATGCGCGCACGTGGCCAACTCAGTTTTTCCTTTGCGCTGGTCGCAGATCTGTTGAAATCTACCTCGTGTCTTTCACTTAGCAAGTTTGTTAATTTCTTGTAGTATTTACCATGGATGTTGGCGACATCGATGCCGACCTGGAGTTCGTCTCCTCGGATCAATTCAATAAGTTGGAGACCTCTGTCATCACGGTGAAGTCAGACGTTTCTTCTAACGCCCATCAACTCACTTCTATTAAGAAATTATTGACGAATAATTCCGGTAACAATAACCAAGGTGTTCAGCACACCACGGGCACGGCTCCTCAACCTGATGACTTCGGTCAGAAGGTGATGGATGTCGATGAGGAGGTCCTACCTTCAGCCTTACTCCCTGACTCAGCCGAAGCCGGCGATTTAGAACAGTTTCTTTCGTGGGAGATGAAGCGCTTGGCGGTCATGTATTGCCAAAGCTGGCCGAATACGTCGCTCAATGCTGCTCCAAGCGGATCAACAAAGAGAAACTCACGGATATGAAACGCCGCTGTTCTCGACCCGCCAACTGCCCAACCCTTGTAGTACCCCAAGTGAACGAGGGGATTTGGAAAGAGTTGGGCAAGTGGACGAAAGCCACTGATGTCCATATGCAGGCCACGCAGAATCTGGTGGCCAGAGGTATGGCGGGCGTCGTAGCAGCAAAAGAAACCTTGATGCAACCTAGCCCATCAGCTGAGGCATTGACAAACGCCAGCAAACTCTTGTAGTCAGCTATAGCGCTGCTAGGCTCAGTATTCGAACTGTCCCAAAGACGCCGGGAGGTGATACGCTCTGGCATCAACAGAAACTACAGGTCCTTTATTATTATTCTTTTATTCCACGATGGCGTGCCGCCAATAAGGGTGATTAATAATTGCGATAGAACTGGTACTAGCCAGAAACAGGTAGATGGAAATTAACCGGGAGGCAAGAAGCAATGGATCATGAAAAACAAGCGGGGGCAATAACGTTAGCAGGGGTGATCGATATAGTTAAGTACACGTTCGAGATATCAGAAACCAGGGGGATGCGCGGAGCAGGAACGGTTACTGCTCAAAAGAAGACTGGATGCATTGTTTCGGAAAGAATTTCTACGAGTTTGGGTTGTGATGTCGATAGGGAGTGAGTTGTAGAGGGTGAGGGCACTGTTGATGGGGGAATCTCGGTGCCTGTTCGTGTGTGCCTATCCGTTGGAGTAGGTCCTTTTCTGTCGAAGGGTGTATGGTTGGTGTTGACGTTGTGGTGCAAGATGTGGTTGTTGCAGGTGTGGTGGGGAGGTTTGGTGGGGGATGTCCCATGCTAGTAGGGCTCGTGGAGTCGTGAGCTAAGGGTGGGGAGCTTTGCATAATGGAGTAGGGAGCTGTGGTGAACTGGTGCAAAGAGGGGAATCCGAAGATAGATGCGTATAGCACGGCATTGAATTCTCTCCAATGATGTGTTGGGTCCATCGCATATCGTCTTGGAGTGTAACACCAAGGTGCCTATGTTGGTGGACCTGCTGCAGCCGAGTAGAGTGGAGCATGATGTGGATGGTGTGTTGGGGTTGAAAGGAAAGGACGACGGTTTTCGTGGTGTTGACGAGGAGATGCCAATCCTTCAACCATCGTCCTGCTGCGTCCACGGCACGTTGGAGGAATGCAACAAATCCCTCGTGTAATGCATCGCGGTGAGTGCCGTGTCATCGGTGAACTTGCTGCATTTGGTGTGAGAGTTTGTACATGCTGGGGGGAGGTCGATCGTGTACACCAGGAAAAGAAGAGGCCGCAGGACAGAGCCCTGGGGTACTCCAGCTGGAATGGATTTCCATGATGACAAAGCAGAGCCAACCTTGACGCGTTGTCGGCGGCGAGTCAGGTAGCTTGTGTGCCAGGTAAGGGCAATGCCACGGACACCAAGGTGCTAGAGTTTGGCCAGGAGGCCAGCATGCCAGACTCGGTCAAAAGCCTTTGATAAGTCAAAGAAGCATGCTGACACTGCCTGACCGGAATCTAGGCTGGCGGAAATCTCATGCACTAGGCGGGAGAGCTGTAGTTCAGTACCATCCTTAGATCGAAATCCAGATTGGCCTGCCGGTAGGTGGGGTTCAATGTGGGTGTAGAGGCGTTGGTGAACAATCCTCTCCTGAAACTTGCTGAAAACGCTTAGGAGCGAGATTGGACTATAATTGGTGACCTCTGCGCGAGAGGCTTTCTTGTGTAGAGGACTGATAGTGGCGTCGCGCCAGTCCTGTGGCTGCTCGCTTCGCGGGAAGGACTCGTTGAAAAGTGTTGCGAGGGAGCACGATATTTCGTCTGCAGTGATCTTGAGCAATTTCGTCGCGATGCAATCGTACCCAGCCTACTTCCGGAAATCAAGAGCGGAAGGAGTTTTCTGACCTCCTCCTGGGTGGTGATGATTTCCTTCAGCTCGCTTCCGATGATGCGTGACACGCCAATCTCTGGCACGGCTTCACTTGGTCCGGAGACGGACTTCTGGCTTTCCGAAATGAAAAGAATTGTTAAACGCTTCCGCCTTTTCTCCATCTGATCTAGCCACTGTTTCGTTCGCTGAAATAGGTGGAAGCTCCTTTTTCAGGGACGACCGCAGTGATTTCATTAACTTGTACAGATTTAGCTGCGGGACACCAGTTACGTCGCCTTGCGCGGTAGTGGATACGAAGGCAGATTTAGCTTCTCTCAGTTGTGTTGTGGTCCTATTGCGTTGGGTAACGAATGTGAGCCAGTTCTCGGCGCTGCGAGTTCTGAGATACTGACGGTAGAGCTGATGCTTGAGTTTAATGCTGCAAAGAAGCTGTTGAGTCATCCATGGTCGCCGGCCTGGGCATGTCTGGTGTGTACGTCGTGCTGCGAAGTTAGTACAGTACAAGTGTGCTGTGTTGATAAGCGAGCCATGCCAATGCGACCAGAGGTCTGTCATTGATAACTGCGGGATTTACTCAGCTGGTGGCAAAAGCTGTATTGAGCTCAGGGCTTCTTTCAGTGCGACGACGCGATCAGGGTCCCAGTTCCAGCGCAAACTGAGGTAGCAGAGGTGTGTTATCTTCTTTTTTCCAAATACCTACATGTGTGGCACATATGTAAAGAGATACCTAAATATACCATAGTATAGTCTGTAGCCAGTACACGCATTGCACATCAAGTCGTGATAATTTCAAATTTTCAAATTTTCACATTGCAAATATTTATTCTCCAAGTCGTCAAATTTATTCTTACCTTCAGAACCATCGTCATGGGCGCTCAGATTCTCGGTGGCAAGGACATGGCTCTTGCATGAAAGGTCCTCGTCGCTCTCAATCTCCCCGCTCGCGGCACTGGCAGCGCCGTCACCTACGTCGTGTTGATCGCGCTCGTCGCCGTGCGTCACACCAATATCGTCAGGCGAACCAGGTATCGATACGAGATCCGGGAGCGACTCCTCGTCACTCCCGTCGCCAGAATCGAAGCTATCATCCCCTGACCACGGCTCGACATCGCTGTCAGGGTCCATGAAAACCTCCTGGAGGGCCTCTTCCGCGGCAAACCTACGACGAGCCATCTCTACAGATCGGCCAAATTTCAATTTTTTGAAATGTATGCACGCGCATGTAACTCCAGTTCAAACTTACGGAGCGACTCGCAGTTTTTTTTATACTGTACTCGTACATACTAGGAGTCAACTGTGCAGCGGTACAGCTTAGATCGACGCCACGGAAGAACAGCATAATCGATGTAGTACCGTACAGACTCGTGACGTTCTAGAACGTCACGCGTGTCACAGTGGCAGTGGTCATGACGTGTCAGAACGTCACGCGTGCTCAAAGGGTTAAGATGAGACGAGGGTGAGCCCATCCACACTAAGGGGCAATACTCGAGTGTGGGTCGCACAAAGCCGTTGTAGAAGCGTTGGCGGCTCTCGGCGTCCAGAATGCTTCAGGAAGCCAATCCGCTGGTTAGCACGGGAAGCTAGGGAGCGGAGGTGGAAGGAGTAGCTGAGGGTGTCGTCAAAGGTGACTCCCAGGAGTTTCAGCCGACTCTCTTCACTGACTGGTGTGCCGTCAAATGTTGCTCGAGGGAGCCAGGGCTGGCGATGGTGGCCTATAGACATAGCCTGTGTCTTGGAGGGCTCAAATTTGATCCTCCACTGATGTCCTCAACGGGAAAATGCCCCGCTGGAGGAGCTCGGAGCCACAATCAATGTCAGCTCTTGATGTGAGGCAGTGGAAGAGAGTGGTGTCATCAGCGTAGGCTGCTAGCTTCATACCTGGTGGGAGGTGGTCCTCGCCATCATTGGTGTAGGGGGTGAACAGGGTGGGACCAAGGATACTGCCCTGCAGCACGCCAGCTTTGGTCGGATACGGACTGAAAAGTTCACCTCCAACTGCAACCCTCAAGTGACGATTAGTCAGGTAATCCCTCAGCCAAGCTAGAAGTGGACCAGTTACACCATAGCATTGTGCCTTGTGCAAAACGCCTACATGAGAGACGCGGTCGAATGCGCCAGCCACATCAGCTGCAATGACTCGAACCACACCACCTCTGGCTGCAACGCGACTCCATTTTTAGTTGAGTAGCGTGAGTATGTCCTGGGTGCGGAGTTGGCTGCGGAAGCCATACTGACTTTTCGATAAGATGTTGTGTGCCTCCAGGAACTGTCGGATTGATTTGTTGATACTGGCCTCCATGACTCTCGACAGAATAGAGAGGAGGGAGATCGGGCGGTAGTTCTTAACATCAGACTTGGATTTTTTCTTGTGCACCGGCACAACCATTGCCGTCTTCCACATTGTAGGTTGCCGACCTTGGTGGAAGGCCTGCGAAAAGAGCCGCGACACTGGTACAGCCAGCTCTTTGCTACATTGCCGGAGTACACGCCCGGGGATGCCGTCTGGACCCGTGGCTTTGGCGGGGTGGAGTTGCCTGAGCTTCCGCTCAACGGTGCTTGGCCGAAAGTGGACATTGCGTAGTTGGGCTTGAGATCGGGGGCGGACTGGAGGGAGGCTGTTGGATTGCAAGTCGTTGTCACCAAGACTGTACTTTGCGGAGAAATACTGACCGAATGCTTCGGCCTTTTCGCTGCACGTGGTGTGCTCAGTTCCGTTCGACGCACGCAGAACAGGTATGTCTGCACTTACTACTGGCATTGCGAAACGATTCCTGTTGGCTTGTTCTTTTTCTTCCATTCGATGGAGAGGCCGCTAGCACCGTGATGCACTTCAAGTCCTGGGGGCTGCTTTCTCTTCTTGCGATTCCGTGATCTCATGCCATTATCCTCAGGTCTGCCAAGGGTGACACTCGGGCGCGAACGCTTGGAGTTGCCCAAGTTGACTTCGCCTTCGCATTAATCTAAATTGCAGTCTTGAGCCGGTGGTCGGTGTTGATGGTGGACATTTGTGGTCTGGTTTGTAGCTACTGCTTGCCCCAGCGGTTCATGATCTGAGTTGTTTGGCGTAGCACCAAAGTCTTCTGGCTCGGAGGAGCTTGACTGATGGTCATCGTCTGATTCGCTATCAGATTCCTTGCCTTGTTGGTTACCTTGTCGGTTGGCAACTTTGTCTGAGAGAAGTACCTCCGATCGCTCAGACTCGGTGGAGAGAAGGCTGGTGTTGTTTTCGGTTTTATGTTCGGAGGATGAGTCTACAGCTCTGTTGTTGGACGAAGTCTTGGTGGTTGATTTGCTTATTTGAGTCTTTTCCGGGCAGTCCTTGGCGATGTGGTCTGGCTTGTTGCATAGCCTGCATGTGTGTGTTTGATCAGCATGGTACACGCGGAAATTGCTCTTCCCGTCCCGTGATTTCACGTACGATGGTACGGTCTTGTTTGTGCCAAGTTTGAAGGTGGCAAACCTCACTCATGTCGCAGTGAAAACGCAATCCCGGATTTTGAGTCTGCCATGTCGTATGGCACACTGCACCGTACCGTACTGAGACAGTGCAGCTTCTACGGCTCCATCACCCACCCACACAGGAATGTCGTGAATATGGAGCTGGACGTTGGGGGTACCCACCAAACATTCCGGGGAAATATGCCGTTCATTGAGCACGAAGCCGTTCTTGGACACCAACATGGCTAATGAGGATTCCGTAAAGGTTATTCTACACTGCCTGGAGGAGCTCACCTGTACAGACAGGATCACCTCAGTGTACAGACAGGATCACCTCAGTGTACAGACAGGATCGCCTCAGCCTCGATTCCATGCTTTTCCAGGCACTGCACGTAGGTGGCCAGCTTGATATCTTTGACTGCGGGAAAGACCACTGTCCGGGCCATAGGTTCTCTGACGCTCAGTCTTCTCCACGGATCCATGGGTGCTTCCAAAGCTTCACTGACTTTATCACTGCTCCCGGCGGCCCCTGGAGAGGGGGTCCCGCTAGGCAGCATGTCTAAAACAGATTTTGGGTCAGAGCTCGAAAAACCGCATCCGACTTCAAATTCAGGATGTTTAAAAAAAAGGCCTTATGTGATATGTCCGTGCCTGTCACAAACAAGTTGTTTGGCGACAATATTCAGGACTCCATCAAGGAGATAAACGAGTTGGCTAAGGTTTGCAAGAGCGTGTCTAGCACAGGCGGTGACTCACGGTTTCACGCTTTTTCAGCTCTGCAGTGTTTGACAGTCCAGCCGGCAACAGGCTGGTCTGGAAGTAGGACAGTAGTATTAGTGGCAGTGTAGAGTAGCATAGGGTAGTAGGGTAGCGTAGTGTAGGAGTGTAAGCAGTCAAAATCAGGAAGACCTTCTTCGCCACGGCGAGCTCGCAGGAGAGCCTGCGGTGAAACTGCTCTGCTCAGTCCCGGGCATAGAGCGGACTCTGCTCATCGTGCTGCAGACCCTTACGTCTCATATCAGCGAGTCGAGGGATCGTGAGGGTCGTCTCCATCAGCGTGTGGACGATCTCTCCACGCAGCTCCTAGCCCTACGTGAGGAATTTTGTTCACTGCAGAAATCCGCCATTGTTGCTCCCGACAAGGCCCCTGCACGATCTTCTCAGCACCAAGCCCAAGGCGACAAATCTCGTACCCGTACGAAACCTCGTAACCGTCCTCCCCAGTAGGGCGAGCTTGACCCAGCTGCAGCAGCAAACCAGCTCGACCCAGCCAAAGCAGATGATGAACAACAGTCAGGGCAGATAGACGTGGCCTCTGGCTCAGCACTGCACGAAACCCGTACCCGTACGGACGACCCCGGCTTTGTCGATCCTCAGCCTGTGCAATCAAACTGCGAGAATAGCCAACCTATCCTGGCCGTCGTCAAGGATGACAGTTGGAAATTACTTGCGGCGGGCCCGCCAAGAAAGAAGCGATCTGTGTTCTTTGTGGGCAACTTGAGCCACGACTGTACAGTGGACAGTCTCACTGAGTTTGTACACCGTAGGTCGGAAAGCGTGGGGACGCCTGTCAAAGCCCACAAATGAGCCTACATACAGCCGGAAACGGGCAAGTGTCAGACAGGATATCGGTTGATGCCACCTCCAAGCTGACAGTGACGTCCGCCAATTTCTGGCCAAGGCCACTCTACTGCAGGCCGTGGAGATTCCACACCTCCACAAATGCGAATGCAGCCAACAACACCAGCAGCTGCAAGAGCAGCCGCCACAACAAGAACAACAACAGCATCAACAACAACAGCACCAGCACCAGCACCAGCAGTCGCCGCAGCAGCACAAGTAGTCACCGCAGCAGCACCAGCAGTCGCCGCAGTAGCACCAGTAGTCACCGCAGCAGCACCAGCAGTCGCCGCAGCAGCAGCAGTAGCGACAGTAGCACGAACCCGCTCGAAGCACAGCAGCATGATCAAGAGCAACAGCAACTTGGGATTGGCGCCACGATTAATGACTTCCTGAGCGTGAGTCGTGGCCTGTCCGCTGCCGCTGCCGGCACACCTGTAACCCCGCCACACAGCCACAAACGTTCTTCTGCCGAGCGGTCACCTGATTTGCTGTTGCATGATGCGAAGCGTGCTGCCCAGCCTGGTGCGCAGCCACCCCAGCAGGATAATCAATCCTCACAATGATGGCTCCAACACGTGCACGGCAACCACCTAGAATGCTCCGCCTCATGCTGACAAAAGCTTTCGGTATCTTGTCAAAACTTGGGGAGTTCCAAGTTCTCAATGCCCACCACCCAGACATTGTCATCGTCACGGAGACATAAGTCAAGGACGACAAGGCCACGCCTGCTTACCTCACATTCCCTGGATACTTCCCACCAGTTCGAAGGGACCGTAGACTCTACGGCCCAGGGTGGCGGTGTTGCTATCTGGATTCGGCCCGACCTGGCTTTCACAGAACTAGAATGTATTGATACTGGTGGAAATGAAATCCTGTGGGTTCGCCTCAAGACAGCAGCTGGCCCATCCATTGGAGTGTGTGCTGTGTATCGCTCAGGTTCATCCGCTGATGGAGACATCTCTGCCCTAAACAGCATCAGTTCTGGCATAGATGATGCTAGGCAATGCTGCCAGAATATCATCGTGGCAGGTGACCTAAACGTTCACAACCGGCAATGGCTAGGCAGCAGTAGAATTTCCCCCGCTGGTGAAGCTGCTGAAAATCTGTGTTACCACCATTGCCT